GTCGCCTGAAACTGAAAAAAAAACGTTTGTTTTTGAGGCGACCGAGTCGGGCGATCGGCCCGATCCGCCGATCCCATCCGATGTGGACACCCCGTATAAGATGACATGAGACGCACTGAGTAGTGCACTATTAGTCTCGAAAACATACGTATTGAGAAGACGTTTAATTGAAGTGACGTTTTACTCCTGGGGTGTTCATCAAGCTTAAGGAGATAATAATTATCATTCCTGTGTATTATTCCAAGCAGTGTTCTTCAGAGCTCATATAGATCTAGGTCTATACTTTTGTGGATATTTTACTTTTTTGTGTCTGAAAACGTTTTGAGCAGTGTTCGTTAGAGCTCATGTCTACTTGTGTGGATATCCAATTCTGTCGTGCGTAATGTTCTAAGCACGTGATCGTGAGAGCTCACTTCTACTTGTGTGGATATCTGACTTTGTTGTGTGAAAATCAAAAATGGGGCGAAAAGGACAGAAAAACGGGGAGAACAATAATACTGCTGTGACGTCATTCTCTGGTGTAGCGGATATCGATGAAAAACGGACAACCGCAAACGGTGTGGACAGCAGAGGTGGGTATAACATCATGTTTGTTATATTATCAATACATGTACATGCACTATTATATATATATAACTACTGTTAATAATAGAGAAAATAAGAATGATATTAATATAGATAAGCTTAATGTTAATAATAATAATAATCTAATGTAACAAAAGCTTGGTCTACGCCACGCATTCACCAATTGTTTTCATCTGTGTTTCTTTTCTCAGATTCTCCTCTCAAATCAGGATATGACCCGGGTTATAAGGGACCGAAACAGAAGAGGTGAGTGAAGAGAAAAGATGACTATTTTTTTCTTTTTGTCTTTTCTCGTTTCCTTTATTTGTTCTTGTTCACTTCGCTCTTTTTCTATCTTTCCCGATTTTTCCTTTTCTCTTCCTTTTCTTTCTAACTTATTTCACTAACTCTGTCTGTTTGCCTGTCTGAATGTCTGTATGTACTCTCTTAACTCCTCTCTCTCTCTCTCTCTCACGAACTTTC